AAAAATATGTTCTTAAAAAATATATCGCAACAAGTGGCCAACACTGTGTGTTCTGTGAGTATACTAGTGGTTAAGAAAGAAGCGCTTATAGAAATTTATTCAATATTTGTTTTATTAAATTTAGGGCAATATATTAGTATCATTGGATTCTCAGCAATTGGACATTGATACAAGTGAAATTACTACTGGTACTCTTGGGAAAGCTTTCAAGTAAATTATTATGAAAAATAAATGTTGATTACATGAAAATTAACGATTCACTGTTTGTTGTAAAGGTTTGCAAGCAGAACACGCATTAAAGTTGGAAGGGCGTTGAGCTTTAATAAAACTCCCAGCAAGTTGAAACGAGCAGTGTCTACAATGATGAGTCCTGTTCTCAGCTTGACTAACAATGGAGGGCTGGGTACGCACGCCCTCACACCGTCCACACAATTAGCCAATATGCACTTAGCATCGTGCACCAATTTAAATGTGAGCCCATTAAATGAGCATAACAGTAGACATAGTTGTACACTAACGAAAGTCAAGAAACATGTCAAACGCAATTCTAAATTGCGAATGTCTAGTTAATTTTTCAGTCGGCGATCATTTGGAGAAGATAACATGTGTAGTCTTTTGCTTTATAAAAAAATTAATTAAAAATCTTACCTTATTGGATCTCAATAAAATAAATAAGGTACTTGACAATTCGCTTTACTTGTTGAACCAGCTTACTGTGTCGATTAACCTGCAATGTCCATATATTATGTGGTAAAGACCTTTTGTGGTTGAATGTATGCATGTATGTCGTGTTATTGAACTTTAATTATTTATTCATTATCATATTCAGTACTAAATAATTAGCATGGGCTATAACCAATTTTTAGTATTGTATACAATTATATTGTACATAATTTCAATTTTGGAAAGGCTTTGTTAATGTCGCTTTTTTCGTTTAAGGATATAATAATCGCTCATGTTAAACAAAAATGATTAATCGATACCATATTATTGTAGTGGAGTGCATAAAAGAGGGATATGTTGTATCACAATTTTTTTTAATTTTTAAACAGAAATATTTTATGTATATATTGAAATAGTTTACAGCTAAGCAATAAAATAAATTATATTAATTGTTATAAACTATCAATAATTACTTAAAAATACCAATTTTATTAATTTCCATTGTGATTGAGTTGGTTATTGTTTGTATTATAAAGCTTCTTAAATGCTATTGCAATTCATGTTATATAGGTTTTGGTAAACCTCACGAGATTAATTTGTTCTAAAATAATATTAAAATTAAAAATGAATTGTTAATGATTAGAAAATCTGGTTAACTGTTTCCTATTTTGTATATGTTCATTTTTGGATTTTATTTTAATCTCATGGCTGTGTAGTTATGTAAATTTTTATGTTGAACAACCATGTGGTATTTCTTTGGCTGTATTATTTTAAACATTTTTAAAATAATTATGCAGTACACTTTACAGTGTACATAAATTTTTTTTTAGCTTAAATTTTTGCATCATTAGTAATGTGGTTTTATTCTCAGTTTATTTATTTTACACAAAATAAATTTTATTTGTAAATCATATATTAATGTTAAACCATACAATGAAAGTAGCATTAGTTACTCTCATAATGGTAAAATATTATCAGAGTAATTGATTTTTTATGTATGTAAAAAATTAAATACCAGTTACCTTAATAATAATAATTGATAGTAATACTTAACAATATTCCTAAGTACTAAATTTGGTTATTTTTTATTTTAGGAAATGTCATCAGATGACCATACGTTTCCATCGCCACCTATGTCAGTTCAGCCAAGCAGAAAAAATAAAACGTCGATATTAAGTCTATCGTCGGCGCCCAGGTAGCGTCCAACAGCCTATCGATACCTGGTAAACACTTTTCGAAACTCAAAAAATTTTGTTTCGATTTTAAACCGTCAGTATCGATAGCTATATTATATTATTATAATAATTATGTTTTAAAACTCAATTTTAAATTTTTTTAAATTAATTATTTTATTACATTTTTTGTTAGTATTTAAGATTTGTATAATAATGTTGTTTTCAACTTTTCCCAAGACATTCTTGCCCCAAAATTTTCTTATCCTATACTTCATTGTCAACAATCGTTCATTTCATAAATTCCATTTCTACAAAAATAAATGTTTACCATACATGTTTACTTGGTTTTATACTGAGTATTTTAAAGTTACCATGGTATATACTTTTGTAGTCTTATTTATATAATTGCATATATTATATGTGAAGAATTTTATTTTTAAATCTTAAAAAATTAAACAAAACTTAAAACGGTGCTCAAGTATTTGATCATAAACTACCTTAAGCTCAAACAATAATTTTTTATGTATACTATGTGTGTGTTAGGAATTATATATTTTTATATATTTTTAAATTTATAGTGTTAGTGTAAATATGACGATTCAGTTTTGTGATTTATTAGAAAAATGTATGAAATCAAAATTAAAATAATTTGACGTACGAATTACATTTTATATGTAAAATAATATTATAAATATTCAATATAATATTATTATGTAGAATTTAATTGTTAAATTATTGCTCTCATTTGTTGAACTCTCCTTTGTCTTACTTCCTTTATTAAAATTTTAAAGAAACATTATATAGTATTGTCAAATGAAGAATAGTACTTAATTTTTTTAAGTGCCTGCCAAAGTTTTCAGAACCGATTGGGTCACAATGGTCAGCCAATAATAAAAAAACATTTGAAATAATAAGTATTTTTGCAAAATATTTAATGAGTTATTCGTTTATATGTAATGCAGTAATGAATAATGATTATTGCTCATAGTATAGTTGCTAAACATCATATGACCAGATGACCTGGAATATTTTAAAAACTTATAAGTAAAACAAAAAAGGTAAAAAATTGGGTATAGTTCTGGTGCATAGTAGGTCTCAAGTAGGTCACTGTAATGGATGTGTTAAATTTGAATTTAATAGTATATCATTGTAAACGATAAATACATCTGAGCAGATACGTTTTTTCATCCTACTTATTTTACTATTAGTATTAGAGAATATTAAAATTTGCCAACATAATAGTAACAATTAACTACTTATTTATTAATAAACAATCAAATCGAGTATAAGTAATATCATCAGAATATTATATTTGATTTATTAAAAAATATGAATCGCTTAAACTGTATAAGTGTAACTAATTAAATAATGAATAATAAAAATAATAATATCAAAGAAATTAAAATCAAATGCCTGGAAATTTTATTGATTTTATTTGCACAAAATTATCAATAACATTTTCAAAATCAAGTTTTCTTAAAATATCTGATTCAGCTCATTATTGATAGTTGATTGAACCTGTCGTTAGAAGCACACTATTAGTAGCGCTAACTATTTTGTATTTTATTTTACTTTTTTCAGATCGGATCAAAGTCGAATTCTTATTTTACTTTCAATAGTGCTAGAAAAATATGTTTGAAAAAGAACTAATTTTATTCATTATTCAAATGCATATTTTAGCTTCTATAGTTATGATTTTGAAAATAGGGCTTTGGTCCGACCTTCAATATGTTCTCTTCTTTAAATTAAAAAAAAAATTAACGAAATCCGACTATTCTACAGGGCGTGAGAGTTTTTCCTGTTCGGCATGTTTTTGTAGTAAGACACGTCATGGCTCCGACGCCCTTAATTAAAATATACTTGTTTTTCTATTTTTTCATTTAGATACCTAATATTGTAATGAAAAAAATAAAAAGACATTATCATTATCAAAATGCCTCTGAATTTTGATTTTTTACAATTTATAATAAATTGTATCATTGGAAGTTTTGTAAAGGGCCCGAATAAATTAAGTACAAGGGCCAGAATTATATGTGGGAACCCTAATAAAATGTAACCAAAAGTTTGTTTTGTCCTTACCGTGCTATCATAACTCATAAGCGCAATTGGCGAGGGGACGATTTAGAGGGACTTAGCCCCTCCAAAAGTCAGTATTTTAATTGAAGTATTAAATTGTTCATTAGTTATATAATCTACATAATTGAATAGTTAAACGATGTTTGAAAAAAATTATTTTCTTAAATTTAAGCAACGGTTCATATATTTTCAAATTTAAAGATATTTTAATAGTGGATGTGGGGGATTGAGTTCCCAACTGGTCTGTTTAATATAAATAGGTAAGTATGTAAAGCCCCTCCCAGTCGAAACTGAAATTGCACCCATGCATGGTATATATTTCAGTGTCTGGTTGTGCAGGGGATGCGCCCAGCACTTTCGGAGATTTCCACTTAACCACTCAGCACTATGAGGATTCCCACTTTACCACCTGCTGGACGCGGAAAGGTCGTTTTCCAACACTTCAAACGTTATAGAAAATTAAACTTTCAGTACAGACCTGACAAAAATATAAAATTGAAATAATTTATTATATATAGGAATATTTTTTGTCATTCTATGCATATTGTATTAATTAGCGTCAAATAATTTGATTCAAGTAATCAAGTGGTAGATTGCTTGATGTACCATAATACCCTGTATTTCATCGTAATAATTCTATTACAGCGAAAAATCGAATATTTGATTTTCAATTTTTAAATATTATAGCACTTATTACATATATATATATATATATTATATATCTTGTTCAAGTAGGTGTATGAAAATATCCTGCATGTTTATAAGGTGTACGTACTGCGTACTTATTTGTTATTATACCGCATAACATATATTGGAGGAAATATTATCAAAATATGCATACTTCGATGTGGGTTGATTAAAAATCACAAATATTTAGTAAAACAATTAATCGCATTTATTATGAAACAAAAAAATTTCGGATTCGTATAATACGTCAAAATTATAATAATTTTTCCTCGTGAGATTTTTAATTTAATGTTCGTTTACCGCGCCGTACTCTGAAATTGCTCGTCGACCTAACCTATAGGTAGTACTTAGGTATTTAATTGTGTTTCTATTGAATATCTTTCAACTGAATTTTGTATTTCGTTATCACGGACGGGGCGGAAAAAAAAATAGTTTACCAACAAGTATACTAAACGTCGTCGGTCGTTCGTAGTCATCTCTAGCTTGTATCAGAGTTGTTAGTTTCGGTATCGATATGATGCCGCCGCCTTAGTGGCTTGACTCCTCCGTCACACTTCATTGCGAATTTCCATTCTAAAATCAACGCTTCTTTTGGTGTTATCTAAAACGAGAGCAAAATTAATATCAATTAGGTACACATTCACTCGGAACCGATCCGAGCAGACAAGGTAATAATTTGCAGCTCGATGGTTGTCGGCCAAAAAGTGATTTGAAAAAAGTAACCCGACTCATTTTTTACTATCAGTGTCCAAACAAAAAGTTCCAAATTCCAAATTATCTGGATTCGCAGTGTAAAAAAATGTATTTTATTAAAATTTTCTTGTACAATAATTGTATTTGATTATTTTATCATATAAAAATAAAAACTATGGTAATAAATTAATATAAATATAAGAATTAAAAATAAGTATTGCGTAGGTGCATTTTACATTTCGAATTCCATTTTGTTTAAAGGTACTTCTGCCTTTTCTACCCAAACTTGTTCAGGAAATTCTTAATGTGAGATTATAAATGCGCAAACCTAATACGTATTATCGTATTATCCTATTATTTCAACTTCTAGCTTTTGTAAACATTATTTGAACAGTCTTAGCCCTTAGGATTTGGAGTATAATGTTTAAAACAAGTTGAGATTTTTGTACGTGGATATTTTTAATTTACGTCCGTACGACACCAACAATTACTTAACTAATGAAAGCTTATATTGAACATTTAAAAGTTACTAAAATGGTTGAACATTTTTTTTCAACTGTCTACGTAGTACCTATTTATAATTCTCGCCCCTCTTTAAATTACATCGATGAGATAAATGTAAACCTATATACGATGTACATGTATAATATATAGATTTAAATTCTAAATTGTGGTATAATATTGGTTATAGCTTTATTAGGTTAATGTTAATTTTATGTTAGATAAATCGTTGACATATCTACAGACGAGATTAATATCAGATTGATGCTTTTTATATTTCACAATAGGTAATATTGTAATTTAAAATTGCAGTGTAAGGAAAAGTCTAATACATTATTTTATAACTATAAAAAAATTATGTATTTGTTTGAATTTTTAGTTTTATATAAATTAAATAATTTGCATTTTTGCATTTTATGTCCTACAGTAAAAAAAATGAGCTGTCATTTTTTCAAATCGAACTTTGTCTGGTTTTCAGCGCGTTACTCGACTATTTTATATTTCATCAAGGTTTATTAATTGTTCTAAGTAACACCATTAACGGACTTAAAGATGTCGGACTCTGCAGGTGTATGACATATTAAATCATAAAATGAGGTGTGTTTGAGGAAGGGGACAGATTTACTCGGTACACCCTTTTTCTATACGATAATGTTTTTGTAGAAAAAGCTTAAAAGTATTATCTATAAAGGCCATCAGTCACCACGTGGGTAACTACTTAAGTGCGGCCTTGCATTACCTTACCTCTTCTTCGATAGCCACTTTCCGGATATTCCACAAAAACTCCAATATGGAAAACATAAACGCAATTAAACACCCGAGAACCAGTACCACGAAAACGCCACCAATTTTCGTAAAGCCGAGTTCGTCGCTTTCATCTTCTTCCTATATGGACAAACATTATTTTTTTAAACAGTCATACAACAGGTTTTTCAACCTTCGTCGTTCTCTACAGCGACTCACCTCGCATTTATTGTCTCCTTGGACTTTCCACCATTTGTCTTTGAGCTCTCGCATGAATCCAGACTCTTGTAATCTCAACACCGATTCACTGATCAGAGTACGATACGGAGAATCTTAAAAGAAAAAAATAACAGATTACCATATAGGTACCTATCAATACAATATACATAATAATTTAATATATTATAATATTATTTTACTATATAATATACTATGTACTTCATAGTTCATACTATTGTTTACCTATTAAATTAAACTAATTATTGTCGTATACCTATTGAAATATTGAAATATACCTACTTATTGTGTATATCGGAGCTATATGTCTAAATAATTCATAACTTTGATTTGTAAGTAAGTACTATACCTATGGCCATGTAAATGCATTTTTTGCGCAGTGTAATCTAACGGTCTAATTTTGATCAAATTGTTTTTCTGCGTTCTTTCAACACCTACCACGAAAGTTATAGGCTACTTTTCATTCCAAAATTCTACTCCTAAATGTTGGGTCACAAATAAATTTTGTTTCAGCTAGGTAACGAAAATCGAATATATTTTAGTTTATCTAAAATTATAATGTTGCCATTGCCCATTGCTCATTGTTTACACAAAATATAATAGTTACTACCCATATAGATAGCAGACAGGTATGCATCCATGCAGGGATGAATTTGGATTTCGGATAAAATAATAATATTAGTTTATTGTTAAATAATGTATCCCTACAGTTGTAAGACTAATATTTAATATCAATACTATTTTGTAATTTTTACAGGCTAATAACCTCAGGAGTTGAAGCCTTACTTGAATAAAAAAAAAAATAATATTAGTTATTACCTACCTATTATTATGTTAGTGAGTTACCTAATTGAGATTGTTATTGTCTTGCTCGCTATAACAATTATTATATTACCTACATTCACAGCAACCGTATAACTGTATATGTCTGTATTAATAAAGGTATTATTTATAATATTTGCTAGGTATTGCTCATTGTTATATAATCTTGCTTTGCAAATGTTCGAAATAAGTAAAAAAATACCTACTAAGAACCTATTAGATAAAAACAGTCTAAAACTAAACGTTGCTACAGTCAGACTGCAACCGCGGCAACGTTAAAAGTCGTTAATTCGTTCGTACGAGGCCCGCTGATGCACAGATGCCAGATGGCCCAATCCGTCCCATGGATGTGAATATGAATATATAATATTATTATGATGTATGTGTTGTAGTACACTGCGCTTGGAGATAGATGGTTAGAGCTTGTTCGAGTCCTGTGCCCCTATATAAACTACGCTAAAACATTTTTTTAAAGGCTATATAATATTACACTACTCACTCATCGGCATTGCTATGCCGTACCCTTTGGAGTCGAGGGTGTTGCCGATTTCCATCAGGTTGCAGTTACGTTCTGTCTGGTACTCGATGCTCGAAGATTCCATGAGAAACGCATATCGGCCTTTACCCTTGAGTACTCGGTCAACGCCCTCCTGATTGCTCTTCGTGAACACAGTCGGGTTAGACGCTTCCATCACGCTCCACATCCTCTGGTACAAACTCAAGTTCGATTTCTGCACAATTTATAGCAAGTCGTCATTAAAACAGCTGATTTATTAATACGAACAAATAATTGTTTTGGGTGAAACCTAGTGATTTTCTATACCTACCACCATCTCTCACTGATCAAATCAGGATACTGATTTTAGTTTTTTTTTTTAAACACATTCTAACTGAAATTATCATTAAATTGTTAACAAGTAACTGATTATTTTTGTACAGTTTAAATAGGTTCACTTCATTATTGAAGCTAGTAGAGGTTAATACAGTAATTGTTTTTCATTACTTGATTTATACTCTGTTGCACATAATCGCTCTCATTCAGACGACAGAAATTGCATAAAACCTAATCATGATAAAAATGTCAACATATTATTGCTTCTAAAATTGTTGAAGCCGTAGAACTTGCTGAATTTGAATGTTGATTAAATAGGTTATTTGCAATGGTAGATAGGTACCTACAAATACATACGGTTACCTTTATAGGCTAGAATTGATAGAACCGTAGAGCTAATGAAACTCACTGCTTGTCAGTTGATAAGTTTGTGATTGAATGAATAAGTAGGTAGGTAAATAGGTAATTAAGTATGTAAGTGTCAGGTGATTAAGTATAAGTAAGTAAACATTAATAAACATAAGGTACACAACATATGGTAAACAAGTAAGTACCTACCTAATAAATGTACGAAAGCAACGCAGCAAGTAGCAGAAGTACGAAGTAGTAGTAATATACTGTAAGTATGTAAGTAACAAGTAAGTAATTTGGTAAGAAATTGAGCAAATATTAATAATTAATATGGGACATGGCTAGAAGTACCTATAGTATAGATGACCTATACTTTTATAGATTGTACAGTAAGTCAATGCATTTTAATTATAGGAAGTTGTTACTATTATTAGTTAGGCATTACAGGTAACTATTATAACTGAAATGGATTTATGCGGCGTAGGCACATTATAGAACACTGCGGCAGACCTGAAAAAAACTGGCGGTCGATCCATCCTCGAAACAGCCGTACTCGATGTTCGAGTCTTTCGACAAGTCATCGACGTTTTTGATTGGCGTGTCCAGGCGTCCGCTGGTAATGGACGCTGTCAAATTGGCAGTATACGACGAGGTCATGATCAGCGCGAAAAACCACCACATCCCTGCCACTAAACGCGTGGACACCGCCCTATATACGTATACAGCACAGTGGTTACGAAACATTTCATGATGTTACATTGTTATATTGTGCTGCAGGCTGCAGTACCTAGCTATAGGTAATTATATAGTATAATAATAAATTATTCTTTTGATATTTTACGGAGTGATCCGTTTGACGCAAGACATTCATAATTTCAGAAAACCCTTTAACGTTTTTGAATAGTTTTTTACGTGTATAATTTTAAGTCATTATAAAACAACATTTTTGGAAAAATATGTTTTTCTATATTTTATCGTTATAATTTTTAAAGTTTTGACGAGCTTGACAGGTGACATTTTTAATTTAATATTCCGAAACAGAATATTATTTGGAGTATATCGATCCATCAAAATAAAATTTCAGACAAGTACCTAGTTATTAGTCATAATTTATAAATTATAACTACTACCCAAGTATTTAAAGTTTTGACGAGCAGAGTAGTGGACCAATCAATGGGAGCACACGTCATGGCGGGATATGGGGGATTGACCATGACCTTTTTTTTATATATATAATATTAGCGTGATGGGCATTATCTTGAGATTTATCTCAGAAATAATGAATTTATATTCTCCCTCTCTCCCCCCCCCCCCAAAAAAAGAAGAATTTCTGTCTATGCCATTGGGGCCAACATTTTGCGAGGTACTCCAGTACCAATTCACTCCGCTCTTTTTATTTTAAATAGTTATAACGAAGGTCATAAAATACGCGTCAAAAATTCGATTTTTAACTTAACTCTAAAAAATATGATAGTGATAAAAAAAATTATTTTGGAAAAATGTTGTTTTTAACGACTTGATATTATGTAAAAATATAACTTAGTAATTTTTGAAATAATGAGTACCTTACGTTAAATGGATCACCCTGTACAGGTATTTAGTAATTACTTATTAGTTCATACTAATCCGATAATAATATCATCGTATAAAATACAAACGAGTAAACGACAATATTATTATTGTTGAGAAAAAACATAAACGGACGTAGAAATAATTTATAGGTAAAATATATACCTATGAATATGATGCGAAGACGGTGAGTTGCGTATAATTCAAGACATTTAGCCAAGACTCAAGAGTAGGTATACTAATTAACTTTTAGATTCTGAGCAAAGCGATAAATGTGCTGATTTTACAATGGTGTGTTTTTTTTATTTGCCTGTGTACACGAAAAGTAGTACGACAAATACTTAGATTTTCAACTTTGGGGTGGTTTCTGGTGTAACATTGAATCTAGTTTGTATGTATGAGTTGTGAGAAGTCAACATTTAAAATTTTCTGAATTGTTTAAAGCATTCGCTCGGAATCGTTTTTGTATACATTGATTTCACGTCATTGAATTAAAATTTAACGCATCCGTTACTATGACCCACTCAACACCTACTGTACAGCAGAGCGGTATCTACTTGCGCATATTTTTTCACACTGATTTATATGTGCTATTTTATAAAGATTAAATAAAGTGAAAGTCGTACTTAATGATATTAGAAAACAATATAGTATAATTTCTTTGTACGATAAATTATAACTATTGACTTGTAATAAGCAATTTATGAAGAAATATATTCCTTATAAGAATATATGAGACCAATAAAACTGTCTGCATTTGCTAAATCTATTATTAAGATGGAATTCCATACAGATTGTGTAGGTTAAAATGTTAAAATATGTTAAAAAGACGATAGTTGGACACGCTTTTTCGTCATAATCATATGCATATAAAGCAATCATACAAGTAAACATATAGTATTGAATAATAATTAGTCACATTTGTAAAATATATGTAAATGAATGCATAAGACTATAGATTGAATAAGGTATCTTAGGTTAGCTAGGCTTGAAATGGAAGGCCAAACCGTCCATAAGTCTGCCTTGCCTCTATTTAAAGCATAATGACTATATTATTATATTGTACGTGGGGTTATCACTTACCACGAAGTCTCCCAAGAAGTACAAAGGATTTTCAAATTATGTTTTTAAGTTTAAAAAAATACCTACCGATTATCGTACATTGTTATAATATGTTCTTAAGTGTTTTAACTTTTAATATAAATAATAGCTTATAAACTCATTATAGGTATATTATGAACAGGTTGTGCGTTTCGTCCATGTATGTATTGTCTTATAATTGTATTATGAATTATTGTTGTATCATACATAGCTATATATTATTATATATAAACGTCTATACCTAAATAATATACGTGTACCTTACATATAGTATATTCTACATAGATGATATAGAATATAGAATATGAATACTGTAAGCTCTTATCATGTCGAATCTCAAGGGCAACAGAAAAAAGTTTGGGGTATTATCTAGTCTTGAGTATTGCAGTAATGCTAATTTGGTGTAATGATAGTTTCAAGGGGATTTAAGTTTAGTTCAAGATAACGAATAATTCTAGATATTGGCGTTCGACATCATAAGAATCTACTGTCGGTCAAAGCTGGGCATGTTAATGCATTTTTGAACTCAGCTAAGTTAGGTAAATATGCATTAATTAATAAGAAAAAGTTAAAAATTTAAGGTAAATATATATTTTTTGAACACTAGTCCACTTTATTCAAGTTTACTAACTTAAATCTATATAGGTATACTATAGGCATAGATAGTGTTTATACAGTACTTCATTAAAAATTGTCGTCACTTATATAAAAACAATTCACAGTCTACACCAAAAATTACACGAAATATTGTTTGACATGAAAATGAAATCGATTGAAGAAGTGTAATAAAATAAAATAAATACATATCTTAATTGAAAATTGAATTCGTTCACGAACTAAAAACGATAATTTAAAAGCAATCAAGTTAAGATTATAGTATTGTTAAATAAGTAATAACGGAAACCCAAAAGTAACTAGTCGAGTCACTAAGTTAAATTAAAATACATTTTTAGCTTAACTTGTACTTTTTTACTCGTTAATGCCCAGCCTTGCACTGTTTATAGGTACGTATATATATAATATAAACACTGTGTTAGGTTCTCGTGTTGTTGCCTTACTGAGGTGATACATCGGAACCCTGTTGCAACATGGTGCCGCAACTGAACCATATCAGATTAGCCACATTAAGCCTAGTCTCAAGCTCGTTGTTACCGTCTTTCCACGGCTGTGGATCGTGCCATTCGTTGGGTGTGATTCTGCAAACAATCAACGGGGATAGATAACTACGTCATTCAAACGGACGCGCCACTGGTTTTTGTGTGCGGACACACACTGCTGCAGCCTCAGCGCCGTATCATATAGACCATAGTCGCCGTAATATTTTAATATTATGTAAGTACCTATTAGGTACATGTTATTAACAAGTATAAGGTGCGCTTTATTGCACGATACGCCGAAAGTATGTATTATGTATATTATTATGGTTATAGATTCTAAAGTAATGACTACGAATTTATAAATAGCATATTATTGTGTAGCTCGGTCAGTGGCATATTTATACGGAGTGGGGGAGGGCGGAAATGACAGATTATACAGCAGACAGAATAATATGTATGATGCGTATAGGACATAGGTACCTATACTCTTATGACGTCGACTGAATATTTTTTATGGACTTTTAAAAATAACAAAACATTTTTTTTTTAAATCATGTCATCTCTCATAAATTGCCATACGAAATAAATAAATAAATCTCTCATAGATGTAAAATCATATATACCTATAGGCTATATTATAGGTACCTACTATTTTGTATTACCATTTGACCTTTAGGCCGAAAGGACCCAAACATTTATGTTTTAATCTTTAAAAAACTATTATTTCGATGTATAGTTATTATTTTTATACTAAACTGTGGTTACAAATTACCTTTAACAATTTATTGTCATACATGGTATCTACTTCAAAATGTTGTTGATTATATTTTTGGAAATAATTTATAATTCTAAATAAAACAGAACTACCTATAATTATATATCAATAAATCTTATTATATGGCTATAGTCTATAATATATCCTGCTATTATAGAGGAAAGTCTTATAAATACGCCACTGATATAGCAGCTGGTAATAAAGACGATAAAAGCTATTAGCGCACACAAACCACAAAAGTACACACACAAACTGACAAGCACTGCAATTGCGCACAATTATAATATATATATATACAATATACATGTATGTTAAGTAGGTGATTGGAAAGTCAGTAACCTTAGTTCATAATGCAGTGTAGCTATTTCAAAGAAATATTATCTCATGACCAGTGACCACCCTTTAATCATGATTTATAAACAATTTTTTTAAATTTTTTATGATTTTTAAAAACGGAACCACTGACTTCTTAACTAATTAACACACTGTATTTACGAGTATTATACAAAGTGCAGTTTGGTGGACAATCGTATTTTCTATCATTTCACTACAGAAATTATTGAGAAATCACGACCGCTGCAACTCTGTATAATACATTATGTACCTATATATTATACAATTATACAAAACATAATATGTTAAAACAATTGTGAAATATAATATATATATATATATGTATGTAATTAATAATTATGTATATTATAGTGCAGTATATCAACACGTGCAGCCGTCGGCAAATTTAGGTTTGCGCTCACTTGGGTAAGACTTCGCATCCGGCACACAGCACGGAACCGATGGAAAACCACAGGCAGTTGAGCAGCGTCATCGAATTCTCCATGGTGTCGTCTCCGGGCTTGACCGGGTGTGGGAGTTCCCATTCGAACGGTGTCATTCTGAAAACAGTTCCACAACGGTCTGGGCCAACTGCGGTAGGTACCTATATGGCTTTATACGTGCCTATATATCCACAATATAGTATTTCACGGCGTCCCCCGCAATCATTATAATATATATATATATACTCTCCGGGACCTCGCATATAATATATTATTACTATAATAGACTATATATACCTACGTAATATGTATAGATATAAATATATTTACACGGAATGTTAGTCATCTACAGAAAATACTATTGTGTTCGACGATGTTATGGAAAAAAAACTCAACTCAACCCGCCTAATTTGATGACTATCAAGCGAAATAATAATAACAATATTTATTTAATATTATATTCATAGGCGAAAATCAGCTGAGGTATTGATATTTTGTACTCTGTGAAAGGTTTGAGAAGGGTTTTGAACTTTGATGGCTCAGGAGCAGCCACCGCGGAGCAGAGACTTTTGCACCCGAGTGCGTCCCGAAATGACGCTTATTTAATGGTGCGTCCCTAGAAAAAATATCTTTATTTTTATTTTTAAAGTATCCTGAATGCGTTCTAGTTGATTCGATGTACCCCGCACCCACCAAGAGGAAGTGAATTGGCTTACACCCTAAAAAGGGAGGGATCCTCCCCGTTTAGACATTTCGGCCAAATGATATTACGCGATATTTCAAACTCGTAAGCATCATCGAAATGTCATTGGCAAATACTAATTTTTGAAAACGATGCTTTTCAAATTTTTATCTTTCACACTGAATAGAAGTAATCTTCCACTAATAGTCCCCTGGTATTTATGAATAAAAGCCCAAAAATATAAATGCTCGGGAGACTTGTCAGTTGTTTTCTGGGTTATGCTAATAGGCTGAAATTTGGAAATCAAATATTATATGTGTGCTGGGAATCAATTCATAAGTCCATCTAATGAACTTTGGAATTATAATTAATACCTGCATAAACTAAGTCTCTGGAATCAACTCACCTGTGCATTAAATTAAAACTATTTAGACCGATTATATGCTACAAAACGAATATCTCTCAATGCAAATGTAGCATGTCATACACTTCACGCTACATCCTTTTGCTTTATTGCTATTGAGGTTTGAAAGTAAAATGTTCTTCTTCCCTATCTGCCGAGGAGAAATATTAAACAATTTTCGCCCATGAATATACAATTATTGGGTATTATTTTTTAATCTGGCATATTGTTTATTACATTACATTCTATTATATACATAATACATTATATATATATATATAAATGTATATTGTATATACAAGGGTATATAATATGAATTGTATACACACTGTATCACGATATACGTCAGAGGCGGACGGGTTACACGATGGCGGACTATGACCGTTTATGACGCGTTAAGACCAGCGGTGCGGTTTCCGCCTGTAAATGTTAAGTACGACTTTATTTTCGTTTCTCACTTACCTGGCCAACATGAACAAGAACAAAGACACACCCAGATATGCGGTCGCTGTGTACATCCAGACGCTGAATGACAGCGGGTTCAGGAACCAGAACAGCTGTGGTTTCTTCTTCTCAGGTTTAGCGTAAAGTATGCTTATGCCCAGCGTCATGAACGGTGTCGTGAAGTCCACCGCGTTCCGCCGGTCAAAAGTGATCGTGAGGTCACAGATAGCTAAATCCGCTCGCTGCAGAGTCCCACATAACCAATGAAAATGGTGAAAAATTGAATATAGCCATTCAGTATGTACATGTTTATATATACCGTGTGTCCCAAAAAGCAGGGGCCACTTTACCACTCATTACCATGTAAATATTTTTCAATTCTGTTTGCGGGACATTAAACTAGACTAATGGATCGTAAATATCTATGAGTTACAATGTTTTTAACTCATACATCTTGTAAATACACAAATATCAACACAAAACTCCTCATATATAAATCTTTAATCAAACCAGTCTGGACATATGGCATACAGTTATGAGGTAATGCAAAAAAATCAAACGTAAATAAAATACAAACATTTCAAAACATAGCACTCAGGAAACTTTTAAATGCTCCTCCTTACGTCTCAAACCACACTATTCACACTGATCTAAAAATGAAATTGGTACACGAAGAAGCTACAGCTCATTACCGACGCTTCCACAAGCGTCTTTCTTCTAATAGCAACCAGTTAATACAAAATCTCGCAATCCTTTCTATTCCTGGAAACCCACCCAGACGTTTAAAACGAAAATGGTGTCGTGACCTACTTGTTTACACCCCTCCCATCAAATAATCCAAAATCAGAGCTTCAGTTGTTAAACTAATTTTATGTAAAAAAAAATCAATATTGAGTGTCATAGTGGATGACTTCTCGTCAAGCGTATCATGTGTAATTTACTTTAACCATATAAACTTATTGTGCCCCTATAAGGTATAGATTGTTTATCTCAAATAAAAACAAAAAAAACAAAAATGTATCTTGCGCATGCGCAATAAAACTTACATTTTTTTAAACGGAAACCCGTAATTTGAATATCATATTTGGAGTATATATTATATAACCAAAATAATCGTTATTGGTCGAATGAAAATCCTCACTAGGCTGTTCCTACAAGCTGCCAAACATGTTGGGGTACAAATGTATGGGTTGGTTTGATTGGTGGTTAGTTACTTGGGCCCCATTTCTATAACGGAACTCTAACGGGAAGAAGATACTTAGATTTTTTGCGTAATGACTTGCAATTACTCCTTTATGATTTACCTTTAGATATACGTAGAAACATTTATTATCAGGAAGACGGGGCACCTGCTCACAATGCACGAATTGTCCAAGAATTGTTGAGAGTAAGATTTGGCAAAACATTTATTTCAACACATGGACCAGTAGACTGGTCCCCAAGGTCACCAGATCTAACACTGTTAGATTTTTTTGTGGGGACACTTGAAAAATATTGTGTATGTTGATCCTCCAATCAACATCCTATATTTAAAGAATACAATTACACACGCTTGTAGCCTCTTGAATGAAAACCAAATACTGGCAGCAACTACTCGTAAATGTTTACGTTGACTTGAGGTATGCACTTTACACGACGGAGGGACTTTCGAACAGTTTATTGAATAGTTTATGTTTGCAATTTATTTCTGTAAATTAAATTGTAAATAAAAATATATAGTAATGTTAAAAAAAATAAAATAGACATTTTGTTCCTTGAAAATACATGTTTAAACTATGTTATTTCATAATGTGTAATAATAAAATAAGATAATAATTCATAAATAGTAAATATATAATTAGTTAATTATAATAATTATGATTGTTTGTTTCATGGTGTTTAGAAGAAAAAAATAAACACATACAGTCAGAAAAAAAAATTAATTAAATTGAATTTTTTAATTTTTTAAATTCTACTTAGATCTAGTTTAGTCAATTTTGGGTTTAGGACAAAAGTTAATACATCGAAATGGCTTGAAAAAAATCGATAAACCCATATATGGTATTCAAATTAAGGGTTGCCATTTAAAAAATGTAAGTTGTATTGTGCATGCACAAGATACATGAGTTAAAAACATTGTAAGTCATAGACATTTACGATCCATTAGTCTAGTTTAATGTCCCGCAAACTGAATTGAAAAATATTTACATGGTCATGAGTGGTAAAGTGGCCCCTGCTTTTGGGGTCACACGGTATAATATATACATACGGAGTTTTCCATTTAATATAAGACACTCGTTATTTCAAAAAACACAAACGTTTTTAGATATATCACTTTTACATTATTTTAAGTCATTAAAAACAACATTTTTGGAAAACGTTTTGGTTTATTTGTTAATATTTCTATGATTCTATAGAATTCTATAGAGAGAATATATACCTATAGAATCTAGATTGTAATTGGAATGATTTTGATGTGTTTTTCAAAAATAAAAAATATGTTGATTGATTGAGTGTCTCGTATTAAAAACAGCATCAATTTCAATACCTAATAAGTACCTACTAGTTAACGATACTTCTCACAAGTCTTAGTTTTATGTGTTTTCATTTAATAACAACGCAGGATTTGTGAGAAGTTGAATGAAGTTGTTTAATTTAAAAGTAAAACCTTGCATAAGTAGGTACTTTAAAGTTCATTGATAACGGAATGGTTATATATTATCACTTTCTGTGGATATTTAAAAAAAAATGTGAGAATATTATTCTCCTCTCAAATCACTACATTTGCACCAGCTATTAACATTATTTTATACACGTGATAGCCAATTGTATATACAATATCCAATATATGCATGTTAGACATGCAACATATTACATCTATGATCTACCATACTATATTATGTTTACCATGGACTGTAACTCTCCAATCATACCACTCCACTTGCCAGTCTTGTGATTCATAATTCCGTAATCTTGGTTGGTGGTAAACTTGAATTTAAATCCATTGTATTTGGCCATTTCCTCGACCAAGTCGTACGCAAATCCTTCGAAACATTCTTCGTCTTTGTCCATTCCCTTTTCAGTGGCGTTGCATCTCATCAGATATGGTTGAACCTGTTATTGTTTAAAAATTATTTTTTTTTGTTTGGAATGTTCGATTAATTTACTTTAACATTGTTATGTATGTACTTGGTGCATACACTCTTGGTTTAGGTATAGTTGGATTTACTCACTAATTTTCCGACGACAATAAACGTCTTGTTCGTAATCGACTGGGCAAATTCTGAGTAGATTTCGGACGCCGATCTCGTCAGCGTTATTCTCTCCACCGGATCCCAAGATCCCAAACGATGCTTCTTACTCTCTTGCACACGGACCACGTCTACTTTAAAGTAATTCCTGTTACCTGTCTCTGAATTGAATCTCATTTTTCCGGTCAGTCCGTCTAACTCCATCTGCAAAAGAGCAACCAATCATAATATAATAATATATTATTATACAGACATAACATCTGTGGAAAGTATTCTGATCAAATAGCTCAATCTGTAGTTGCGGTTCTAGGAGGGAGGAGGCTGTTCTAGAGGTTAGTCATCAGTTAATATTTTTGGCCAGCACATAATTGGTCTCTATCTAAAATAATAGAGTACTTATCGGCTATCTTTATTATTCAACTGAAAACGTATTTTAATTTTTGATTATAAATGTTTATTGTTTCTACAGTTGAGTTGTAGCTATAATAACTATAGATAATATTTTTACATAATAGTCTGCGTTTGTGGATGACATTTTCGTAAGTAAACATCATGCTATCTGTGAGTAATGCGGCACTACCTTACACTGGATTCACCACTAAAAACAATCTTATCTTACCACTCGCATGTAGTTGATTAGACTGTATCCGTGCACCCACGGTTTTATTTCATCGCAAGCGATTCTCGTGGGCCCCATTGTTTGTGTTGCCACCAAACCATGGAGCGACGTTGCGAAAAAGTTCACCGCGTCGTACATCAACGCGGTTTTTGTCTGTATATGAAAAAGAAAACAATCATTTATTGCTATAAAATATTAATATTAATATGCACGTCAATGTCTAGGCATCTATAATATTATATTATAATATAAAATGTGTTGTGTAAGAAAATTAAATTTGTAATATTTCCAATGTTCATCTTGACTCTGGAGTATCTGCCGGTTATTATAATTTTTGGATGAATGCCAAAATTAGTCATAATATTATTATTATAATTCTGTTCACATATTTCAAATTTTAAAGGGAGTGGAGAGTTATTGGTTTTTTCTGTAACATAGCATGCAGCACTGTGATTTTCGAATTAAATTAGAAAAAAAGTTTAAAAAGTAGGATATAGGAAACCAAATAACGGCGTTTATTCAGCTTCTAGAGTTTTCCAGTACGTTTTAAGGAAGTTTAAATCAAATTACGGATAATTACGCTGGTGTTATGTTTTATAATAGTATATATACATATATATATGTTTTGAATTTAATATTACACATTAATAACATTATTTGTTGCAAATGGTCAACCGTCATCTGTGGATACTTACAGATATAATATTGTATAAGTACCTAATATTAGAGTGCGGATATTTATGTATTGTATATTTTTCCCATTTTACAATTTTGGATTTTAATCAGTAATCTTTACAAATCATTAGAGCTTCAAGCTGATGTATTGAATAATAGGATTCTCTTTGGGCTATTAATAGACATTTTCAATTTTCAATTTTTTTAAATATTATTTCTACAAACATAAAAAAAAATGTTCTCTGTGTCAAATAGCTTGAAAATCTATCCAACACACGATCCTCATTTTTCAGAGTGGTTATAATAGTGTTAAAAATATAGATACATGAGCATACATTTTTTTATAAGTATTTAATAAGTTCAACATTTGACAAAAATCATAGCAATTTGCAAATTATGTTGTTGTTAAAAAATTATTTAGTTTTTAATCTTTAAAGCTAAGTATTGAAAATTTGGAATAAGACTTCTTATAAGTATTTTATACTGTAACCAAAAAATGTAAAAGATATTGTATTGTTAATAGTAATTAATAGTAAAATATACTACTTTAATAGCAATAATGTCATAAAAGTAAGTCACTTAGTAATATTACCTACTAAACAGTCTACCTTCGCTCAGAATCCTTTTTCATTTATAATGATTTGATGCAGATAAATTCAAATTTAACACATACATTAAAGTGATTTAATCGACACCACTGTACAGCAGAGTGGTCCCACTTGCCCACCTTTATTTTCTTACATATTTGTTGCATATTTTCATCATTTTTACTACATTTAAAAGGACCTTATAATACGGTATATTTTGATACTTGTTAGTGTATAAAAATTCTAATTCTAATAATAATTCTATGGAATTACATTATTAATATGATAATTTTATGTTCAATTAAAATTTGAAAAATGATTCACAAATGATTTTTTATTACTAAAATGTAAGTGTCATTTCAGTTTTTTTTCTGGGTATGCAAACTTTTAGGCAGGCCAGTTTTGAAAAAATATATATGTGTAGGTAACCAATGCAAACCTATGTAAATATTCTTTTCTTCCCTTTTATGATTCTAATTGAAACTCATAACGACTAATGCGACTTTTAAATAGCTAGCAATTCAAAGAATTAAAAGCTTATAAGCAATTAAAGCAACCAGCTAAATCCATTTCTTTATTATTTGAATAAAAGGCAAATAAGGTATAATCAACGAACCTGATAAACACGAAAAACCAAAAATATACAAAAACTTGAAAAAAAATTTATTTTATTTATATTACCTATGTATGAAATCATAATGTATAAGTTAATTATGACAGCGCATTGAGTATTAATGGCGGGCCAATTGTTAATATTTTTTAAGTTAGTGATGTCGTTGCTCACCCTGCCCCCCCCCCCCCCCCCAAGAAAAATACGTCCCTGTACCCTGTGTAAGTATTCAATACAGATTATAAGAAGTAGATATTTAAATTTCTGTTAAATATTTGATAGTAAATGTACTTAGATATTTAAACTTACAATAAGTACTTTACATGTTTACAACACTATTGGTAGGTAACCTAACTACTCGTAATTATACGCGTGCATGCTTACTTTAATCGTATTCGGAGATAAAACACTAATCCGTCCGCTTTTCTGTTCGTTGAATATGATTTCCTCAACTGCGTTTTTGACATGCTGACTTTCTGGGTCGATTAACCGGATCAATGTTATGTTGGCCATTGATTTATGGAACTCGTTGAAACTTAAAGTGTGCGCGTCCTGAAACGAAAACAATTATATTAATAATAATATTATTATTATTATTATTATTATTATTATTATGAGACACGAGCCGACGATGTGGTATGAGAACAATGATTAATAAATTCATCTCGCTTACTAAATTGGTGATAACGAAGCTCTGGTAATCTCCCATAAAGTGCACTTCCTCCGCTTGTCCCAGTATGCGCATAATGTGTTCTACTTTATAATCCAATATAAGGTGTTTTTCACCGGACAACTTTAATTCTTTGAACAACGGCCTGTAATGTTTTATTATTATTGTTATTATTTGTAAATACTTAATTTGCGCATAAATGAGATTTTGGGACCATCATATCAGTCTGAAGGATTACCGAAAATCGTCTGTAGGTGGAATTTGAATAATTTTAATAGATTTGCCCGGACCCTTGTGTCCGTAATCGAAATGCATTAACAGGGATTTCAGTCTAATCAAACTTTCTGGACTTTCGTAGATAGCAGTGAAAGACTCCCAATCCATGTCCAGTATTATATCTCTTATAGCCTGTAAACATATTTTGAATCGTAAGTACCGATGGTCTTACATAAATGTTATAACATAAATGAGAGGGCGTGATTCATCACCTATTCTTAGACATGTCTAGAAAGCCTGCAGACAATATTTATAATATTATATTATATTTCCCTTCAGGCTTATCAAAGGGAGTAGGGACACGAGAAGGATAAGATCCAGTCGTTGACCCCTTTGAGGGTCTATGACCAATGCTGATCGTAAATTCGACATTCGTATCATATATAATGTATTATATGTGTGTAATAATTATTATTGTAGATTTCGAATGCATAATATATATACTTGCCTCGGCCAAGAGAGACGGATCGGGATAAATATTGATGGCGTAAGGATCAGGGGGTCGGTGGAATGTTTTCCAATGCGTTTCGATGAATGGTATTTGTGTACGGGTGCTAATAGATCTGATCACATTTGCAATGTCTTCGTCATCTGTTCCGTCAATAAACGCTGCGATTCCAAGCTTCAACGATTCACATACTTTTATAGGTAGTTACCACAAAATTTTTCGTGTGTATTCATAGCGCGTATGATCAAGAAAACAAACAAACAAAATCAAAGTTTAGTTTGTGGGATACATTTTGATTTCGTTTAGTTATTAATATTATTAAATAGGTATTTGTATGTCTTAGTTTTAGTAAGGTTTTTTAAAACAATCTTTATTTATACTTTTTTGGAAAATGTTATCGTATACTACCAAAAAAGTACATATTTAAATAGATTTACGCTGTTAAATTAATTATTATACTATATTATATAATCATAAATCATAAATCATCAAGAGTTTATTTATAATATGTACATCATATAAGTATTTAATGTATTTATATTTTATAACAGCATATATTATTATATATTGGCTGCGTACGATTTGATTCCTAGGTACTTGTTTACCCAAATCGAGACAGGTGAATTGATTTCGGGGTTATTAAAAGTATATACGAGTTGATTCCCTATTTGTGGTTTAACAATGAAAAGTTAGGAAAACATTAACTAAATCAAAAGAGTAAAACTTATTTTTAAATAACCATGATAGCATAATGAATTAAAATATAGTTTAAATAATATAAGTTCCTTTTACTTCATGTATAATCAACTAAAGCAACCTTCAAAACAATTTTGAAACAATTTCACTCATATGTAAAAAAAAAGGCAAATAGATTTAACCTAGGTACACTTGAATTCGTTCATTTTGTCGTCAAGTTATCGTTGAGTGTGCGCAACTATCAATAATTTATAAGAAATGGTAATTAGGCAATCTAAGCAATTGCACTAGGTAATAGCACAATCGATATACCACAACAACTGCAGGTAAGATAATATTATGATTGATTTGGAAAAACGAAACAATAAGCTATTCATTATTATTACATAAATTAATTACGACAGTGTATATTGGCGCATTAATGGAAGGCCATTTATCAACATCCTTATTAATCTCGATTTGAGAATTTAGATTATACTGTTGCACACTCTGTCATCCCTCCCAAATTACGTCCATACCTACTCGGAAATCAATTTATACATAAAGTAAATCTCGGGAATCAACTCACCCATACCATAATATATACCGACAGGGCGTTGTATTGATTTTATTTATTTATCTATTTTCTCACCAACACGTGTCACGTTATACATGTCGTTCACGACGTACTCAGATCTTGGGACGATTTTGTTTTTAGGCAAAACAGTGTCCATAATGTTAACGATTTTTGCGCTCACGTTATACGCCAGTTGATGGGCGGAATCATCGTTCTCGTTGAACAACGCAACTGTAACAAAACGAAACGTTTTAACTGTATGCATTTATGGTACCTATAAAACAGCATTAGCTAATATAGGTAGATATACAGTAAGTTTTCGGGAACAAGCACACACACAATAATGAAACGAAAAAGCGTCGTTAAACAAACAGTATAGGTTCATATATTATGATATTATAACTAATACAATGACTGGGGTGGTAGCAATAACACTACTATACAGACTAAGACTAACCGATTTTTACGACCTTGTTGCTGGCCGACGGCTTAATGTCATCTTCGGATGCCCCCACGAGCAGTAACACCGTGAAAAACGCACACAGCGTGACGACGATCGCACACATTTCTCTACCATGTGGGTCGGAACTCGGAAGCACACTGCACAGTGCAAACTGAACAAGAACGAAAGGTATTTATTTCCTCCTACACTCTTCCAGCGAAAGAGCCAGGGACACACGAAGCGATAATTTTAGACGACTGCCATCGCTGCGCCGCCGCATACACACGCTCATCAGCTATTTCCTCCTATTCATTAGACACAAATTTTTGACGATTTTCTGGCATCGGGCCAACCGTCATGCGCACCGCAGTCGCCGCGCTAAGGTCTAAAACGGTAGTTTATGGACAAATGGCGAGTTATGTACTTATTTCTTTAATTTCGAGCCGGAATATCAAAATTATGCCAGATGAAGTAATTGTTGAGTTAAGTCTAAAAAAGCAGATAAGTAACAGGCATTAGATGCCTGTGTACTTCGTCGTCATTGTGTTGGTAGATGCGTGGATGAAATGGCCGAAGTGTTAAATTTAAATTCAGTGATAAGTCATTGCATACGAAAAACAATTCTGAGCGGATACGGTCCATCGTCAGCCAATATAATACAAGGGTGTATTAAGAATGCAGTACCTATGTTTTATTAAATAATTTTATATCCAATTTTAAATAATTAATTTTGAAATTTGAACTTATCTGTAAGAAGAATCCTACTAATGTATTTTTAATATTTTTAAATTGGTATATATAAGAACAACTTAGTTGGTATTTTGAATTACATTTGCAATATATATATATATATATATATATATTAATGCCTTTAAATAGTTTAAATAAAGTATAAATAGTTTGGAAAATACATTGAGTATAAAAAATAATAATTTGTGTCACAATAAAAAAATTGTTGTATCCAATTACAGCCAAATTCAAAATTCTTCATTCAACGTCATATAAATAACACTAATTACTGATAATTACTTTTTAAATTAGGAAGCAAAATGTGATAGGAACTTAGAAATATAGAATAAGTATTAAGTTTATGTATGTACTTATTTTATTGTACCAATATTTAATATTCAACAGTTGTGCCAAATAATTTGGCGAATATTAGGCAATAAGTGAATCTATAGTCAAAAAAAATAGTTTATGGGTTCATATGTCAAAAAAATATTTGTAAATCCTGTTTTCACTCATAAAGCATATATTTTCATAGTTAAAAAAATATCATTCAATTAATACATTAAAAAATTAGTAATATTATTTTTATTAGTATTACCAAATTTAACTACTTCATCATGAAATTGCAATTTTATAATATATGTACATATATATATAACATATATATAAATGTAAATATAGAATTTATAAATTTAGTCTTCTGAAGACGGTTCGTCCGAATATGTAGTGTGTCTCACTGGTTTAGTTGAATGGTGGCATTTAAGGACAAATTTCAGCTCCAACTTGAATGCGTCCCACGGCGATAACTGCAAAAAGATTATTATAATAATAGACGATAGTACATTATTATGTCCTTTTATTCACGGTGAGTCATTTGGGAGGAGGTGGCTAGACGAGCCTTTCTCACAACCGCTATCTTATTGTAGGCGATATCTCGATGTGCTAGTTGCTGGTGATAAAATATGTCAAGTTTTTTAATTTCTATGTAAGAAAATTCTTTACAAAGATATAATTATGAAAGAAAAATGTAAACAGTTTTAATTTTAAATGATAAATAAAATAAATATTGGTAATTCGCGTTTACCTAAGTTAAATAATAAATTAAGAATACAAAAAATGTTAACTCTGTTGTTTATGATTTGTTTAATGTTGTGTGAATGCGATAGAAAAGGAATAGTGTATGAAAAAATTTAGCTATTATAAAAAAATAATGTACAATATTACTTTTTCTGCGACTGCCACTTTTCGAATGTTCCATAAGAATTCCAATAGAGAGAATAGAAATCCCAACATACATCCTAAAATAAGAATGACAAACATCCCTCCCACTTCATTTACGTCTAGCTCTGCAGAATCTTTTTTAGGTACCTGAAACATTACCAATTGATGTTAATATTTTTCAATATTATTAATTAATCTAATAAAAAGTATTACTGGACACATTTTTTCTTCAGATACCGACCACCATTTATCTTTTAGTTCCATTAGCTTCCCAGATTCGGAAAGTTTTAATAACGCCATACTAACTGCCGTTCTGTGTGGAGCATCTAAAAATGTATATTGTATAATCATAGATAAATTGCATTAAATAGAAGAAAGATAACGATAAAGATTAAAAAAGTATAACATCTACTGTAAATAGCAATGTGTCACTATACTAAGTTAATATAAACGATAAATCGAATTATGGTGTAATAGTCACATTTAAGTAGTAACATTTATACAATTAAAATTCAAAAAATTAATAATTCAATAAATAGATATTTGGTTCCTATACTATGATTATTAATTATTATTCCATCACAAAAATTGTTTTAAACTTACAGCAGTTTAAAGTTAATTGGACAGTTATAGTAGTTACTCACTAAAAGGCATTGCAATTCCATATGCCTTGTTATCCAACCAGGTTCCTACTTCTGTCAAATCACAATTTCTCTGGACTTCATACTCAATTGTACTAGACTCCATAAAAAAAGCATAGGCTTCTCTTTCTTTTTTAACACGGTCTACACCCTGTTTATTGTCAAACATCATCACTGTGTCACCGTATGTTTCCATCACGCTAAACATTTTCTGATAAAGGTTCACATCAGAATTCTAAATCAAAAACATTTCTACAAAATCTACAGAAATTAATAGTAACTAGTAAATATACAATAAATCTGATAAAACCTCAAAAAAACCGGCAGTCGATTGCCCTCTAACACATCCATATTTGATGGTCGACTGTTTGTCTAGATCCTCAACTCGTTTGATGGCAGACTCCTTTCGACTCGATGTTAAAAATGCTGTCCAATTAGCGGTGTATGACTGCGTTACGATTAATGCGAAAAACCACCACATTGATGCACACACTCTCGTTGAAAAAGCTCTAGAACATTATTATTATACCCATATAGACATTTATTTTGTAGTACAGGTTTTAAACTATGTATGGCCATCCATCGGTGAAAAATTGTATGAATATTATTTTACTACGGTGTAGCTAAATTGCCTATCTAAAACGCCGTTTTATTGAAATTTTATTATTTGTAATGTATTAAAGTGCCCACACTCTGCCGCGGTGGCGGTCATTTCCTTTTGTCTTGGCGGTGCCGGTAAATTGTGTCCGGACTCATTTTCTTCACTACCGCCACCACCACCGCGGCAGTGTGTGGGGACCTTTACAATATTGTATTTATAACCATGAGATACAGGGAAATTATATTAGATCCAATGATAGTGAGAAGTGCTAGAACAAAAAAGGGAAAAGTCACATCGAGTCTTATCATAATATTATACAAGAAAGCATTATAAACCATTATGAGTAATTCAGTGGCAAACTTCGTTTTTTTGTTTGGAGGAGGGGGGGAGGTCTAATAAGAAATGTATCTCCAATAGATTGTATTTTTTCTCACCTACATTTATACATTATAGTACATATTAATTGTAATTTATTAGTTATTACTAGGGCAGAGGACTTGTAGCATTTGCATATTTGTTTTATACAGTCACAAAAATAGCAGAGTACGAAACAAATACATTTTAGGCTAGTTTTGAAATTTTTATTTTGCATATAAATGCATATTTTCAGTCTTTTTTGTTTTTAGGACATATTTTACATTTTTATACGCTATTTTATACTTTTTGAGACATTTAACTTTAATCAATTTTTTCCACACTGACATTTTTATTTTAATTAAATTTTTGTCATATAATATGGTTTTTGACTGTCCGTGGGCACATATTTTTGATAGAAGCGCTTGCAGAAGATCGCCGATAAGCCAATAATATTAATTCGCTGTAATTAATTGTATTAATAAATAGATAACAATCTAACGTCATATACTAACCTACTACATCACCAACACAGTGAGCCGTGTTATCACTATGCGGGCTTTTATTCGATTAGGATTTATTTATAAAACGTTTTTAGAAACGACAATAATTATTTTAGTATTTAGATTTTAGTCTCAGACCTCAGTAGTCACTAGTCAGTTCTGCGGAATGTGCATTCGTGTTATCGTGCAGACTTATTAGTCGTTTTATAAATTTATTTGAACATTTTTATTTGTAAGACAATTAAGAAAAATGTATTTTGTTTATTTGGCTATGGTATAAAATATGTTTAAATTATGTAATTGTTTTGATTTTTTTAAATGCAATTTATTTTATTAATACTTTTAAATAAAAAAATGCTTAAGTTCATATTTAAATTGTATATAATGGGTTTTTTAAGTGCATAAGTGCTTTGCATATTTAGAGCTTTTTTACAACTATAAGTTCTCTACCCTAGTTATTACCTATATCTATAGGTCGGTAAAGTATAGTAGACACAAAACTATAAGTATATATAATTCTACATTCCTACCTATATAAAGTAGTTATTATAATACATACATTATACAAATATAACTTATAATATTTTGATCATTTGTTTGAAAGATTAATAACACTAACATTTTATGTCTAATATATGCTTAATATGTTATCATTTAGATATTTACATATTATTTACCTCGGCAATACTTCACTACCCTGGCATAATATGGACCCCAAAGAAAACCATAAACAATTTATTAAAGACAACGAGTTTTCAAGTTCTTCGGGCTCCGTTGCACATGGATGAGGATTTTGCCACTCGTTAGGAGTAATCCTAAAAAAAAATATTAATAATAAAAGTAGTTTGTACACAAAGTTCAGAACCACAAAAACTTTTAATAATACATTTGTACATACTAACCTTGCTAATATATAAAGAATAATTGATAGACCCAAGTATGCAGTCGCAGTATATATCCACACGTGAAACGATAAGGGTTGGGTGAAAGAGAATAAATTTGTTTCTGGTTCTTTCGGTTTACTGAACAAGATGCTAATTCCTATTATTTCAAGTTCATTATATTATTCAATAATCATCGTTCTTGATTACAAATCGAAAATCGCAATGGTTGGTAGTTTTAAATGATTTAGTAACTAAGGAAGCGTTACACATAATATGCTGTATATATATATATAATACTATAATAGTATAATAATTATATAGATTTACCTAA